ATGAAACAATTTCTGGTGGTTAACTCAGGTCTTTTCAATCTGATGATGGAAGTGGGAGATGATTTGAGATGCGATTTTAGAGGAGATTCGAGTGCACATGTGGGTAGATGTAATTAAGATATTTCAAAACTAAATCAGTAACATGTAACTGTCCTTAACAACAACAACAACAACAACAACAAGATTCCATTTATAGAGCGCCTTTCACGTCAGGAGGACGTCCCAAGGCGCTGCAGAGTTGGGTCATGACCCGAGCAGGGGGGAAATGGTCAGGGTGAGGGGAGGGAAGGGAGGGAGAGAGGAGGGGGAAATGGTCAGGGTGAGGGGAGGGAAGGGAGGGAGCGAGGAGGAGGAAGAGAGTCGAGAGGGGAGCTGAAGGCACGGTCAAAGAGAAAGGTTTTGAGACCGGCCTTGAAGGAGGAAAGGGAGGAAGCAAGGCGAAGGCACTGGGGGATAGAGTTCCAGAGCCTGGGGGCTGAGAGGCTGAAGGCCCGACCACCGATAGTAGGGCGGTTGGGGCGGGGGACGTGGAGCAGACCGGAGCCAGAGGAACGGAGGGTACGGGCAGGTAGGTAGGGGGATAGTAGGTTGGAGAGGTAGGAGGGAGCAAGGCCGTGAATGGCCTTGTAGGTGAGGATGAGGATCTTGAAATCAATCCTCTGGGGGATGGGGAGCCAGTGGAGGCGAGCGAGGGTGGGAGTGATGTGGTCCCGAAGCCTGGTGCGGGACAGTACACGAGCTGCAGAGTTCTGAATGACCTGCAGCTTGTGGAGGGAGGTGGCGGGAAGGCCGGCGAGGAGAGAGTTCCCATAGTCCAGCCTTGAGGTGACAAAGGCGTGAACCAGGGTTTCAGCGGCGTGAGGGGTGAGGTAGTGCCGTAATCTGGCGATATTCCGGAGGTGATGGAAGGCGGTGCCAGTTGTGGTGCGGATGTGAGGGAGAAAGGACAGCTCAGGGTCGAACAAAACGCCGAGGTTCCTGACTGGCTTTGAGAGGTGGAGAGTGCAGCCTTGGATGCTGATGGTGTCAGCGCCTGAGGTGCGGAGGCGCTGACATGAGCCAATCAGGAGGGCCTCGGTTTTTCGCACGTTGAGCTGAAGAAAGTTGTCTCTCGTCCAGGACTCGATGTCGGACAGGCAGGCTGTCAGGACATCGGTGGTCGTGGAGTTGAGAGTAGAGGAGGAAAGGTAGAGTTGGGTGTCATCCGCATACATGTGGAAGTTAACCCCATGTTTGCGGATGATGTCACCGAGGGGGAGCATGTAGAGGGTGAAGAGGAGGGGACCGAGGACAGAGCCCTGAGGGACACCACATGAGACAGTACGGGGGGTGGAGGAGAAGCCATTCGTTGAGACGAAGTGAAGACGGTGGGAAAGGTAAGAGCTAAACCATTCGGTGAAGTTGTCCTTTATTTGGACAGAATATGGAAGTGTATGATCTTAGTTTTTAAACTATTGAGAGCCAAAATCCAATATGTCAAATTGTGAACACAGAACTAGAGACTATTAGATCAAAAAGTGACATATCACACCTGATTTGATAATTATATTCAATGCTATGAAATCTTGCATTTTTTACTCCTATTTGTTTAAAATGAATGCATCCAAGGCAGGTTTGGACATTAGATTTTTCCCTGTAGTTAAATATTGCATTCATGTGGAACAAACTTTCCGCAAAACAATTGTTGCTGTGTTACGTTCTTTAAAAACAAACCATGTAATTGTCTGGATGGCGATGGGATTGGAAGTTAGGACTAACATAAGCAATTCATCTCACAAGCATTAATGCTGGGACAAGGAAATGCTCTCTAAAACATCTGATCTTTAACATCCACCTGAACCTAATGCTAATGTGGACGTTTCATTAACATCTCATCTGAAAGATGCTGTTCCTGAAGTGTCAATTTAAATTGTGAACAATTCCATCAAGATCAATAAGATAGTAGGTATCAACGACCAAATCATAGTTCTTTGTATCACTTTCAGTCTGGACTGTATCTGCTCGCGTTTCTGCACTGAAGTAGAATCATAGAATGTTACAACGCAGAAAACGGTCATTCTGCCCATCAATTCGACACTGGTCTCCACAAAGCACAATGCCTAATCACTCACCGGCTTTTCCCCCAGGCCCTTAAAATACACTCTTTAAGTATCTAATTCATTTAATAAATTTATGGATTCTGCGTATAACTATTGGTTTGCAGCAAAGGATCTAAGATTCCAACCATCCTCTTTGAAAGATTTTTCTAGTCCCATTTAAGTTCTTTTTTTATGATCATTTTAAATGTGTCTTCTTTGTTCAGATGGTAACTTGAGATTTTCTTGTTATAATGGGAAAGGCAAATTAAATTTAATCCAGACAAATATGAGGTTATACATTTTGGGTGGAAAAATAAGAAGTCTAGGTGGGAAAATATCAAAAAGGACTGAAAGAGCAAAGGGGTGTTAATTAATGTGTGTATATATATATACATATATATATAAATCAAAGGTGGGAAGACAGGTGGACAACATTAATGGACTGTTAAGTTTTATAAATAGGTGTATAAAATATGAAAGCAGAGGTAATGCTAAACTTATATAAATCATTAGCTAGACTACAGTTTGAATATTGTGTCTAGTATTGGTATCCCCACTTTAGGAAAGACATCAAGGTAATAAAGGGGATGCAGAGGAGATTTACTGGGATGATACTGGGAATCAATTGTGTGATTTATAAATGGGGGCTGGAGGAACTGGAACTTTTACTGCTGGAACAAAGAAGGTTGAATGATCCTTAAAATTCTGAGGGGTTTTGATTGAGTCAGTAGAGAGAAATCATTTCCACTGGTTGGTAAGTAAGTGACGAGAGGGCATCAATTTAAGATAATCAGTAAATAAGCAAATGGAGAAGCAAGGAGAATTTTTTCACACACAATAAATTTAGGATATGCAATTCCCTGCTGGGAGCATATTGCCTTTCAAAAGGGAACTAGAGTCAGCTACCGGGGTATGGCAATAGTGCAGGCAAATAGGACTGAATGGATTACTCGACGGAGCAGGCACAGACATAATGGGCTTAATGGACACCTTCTATGATTTACACTGCTTTCACAAAAGCCTTATTGAGTTGCTAACATACTGAGAAGACTTGATTCTAACACTGGGTATTCCAAATTACAAAGTGTCAATTTTTTTTAGCACGAACACCTCTCATCTTCATAAGTAAGACAGAGGAATATAAGGGTATGGGAGGAAGAGAGGGAGACAGACTCTGGTTGAAAATGAAAGTACATTTTTTCATTTGCTAAATTGCAATGATGTCTGTTGCCAGCAGGAGAAAGGATCTGTTCCAAAAGCAGGCTTGACCGTAGAGGTGAGCCATAAGTCTGCATTAACTTGTTTCTTTACTTAATTTATCAAAGCTATGCACCACAGTAAAAATGTTTTAAAAATTACAAACTTTAATTGTTGAAAGTGTTTCAAACAAAGCCAAAAGCAACAAACTTCACTCTACAGTAAAGATTTGTAACTGCAGAATTCACCTCATCTTGATGGATTCCTGCAGGCTTTTCATTAGAGAATATCCCCTCTACAACCTAACATTACTCTGAGGAGTGTTTTTGCATTTGTTACTTTATCAGTTAAGTTGAAATAATGTGCATACTGTCAAGAGATCAAGATATATACATACATTTTATTTGTTATTAATATGCATAAAATACGCACATGTTTTAATTCTATTAAGACAATACCACAACCCGTTGGAGATGTTTATTTTACTCAGGCCTGATGAAGATGGCCTTTCCTTCTGTGATGAACATACATATTTCAATAATATCTTTCAAGAAATACTTTTGTTTTGCTTAGTGTTACGTAAGGCGAAGGACAAAAAAATAGTATTGTGTTCATGCAGAGAAATAAAAATCGGCAATCTTACAGGCAGCTGTGGTTTTGTTTGGCAGGTCAAACACTGCTTCAATCACCCAAGCAAAACAGCTTTATTTTTTCAGTTGAAATGTATATTATGCGCACATTTTAATCATGTAACCAATTAAATGACCACATTTATTCACAGATTGTGTTACTTTCATTACTTTCCTCCAACATTTGTTCTCATATATGTGTTCTTTTAAATATCCTGTTTTTGAAACTACAAAATAGTTTATTGAAAAAGTTAGCATCATCAGTTATTTAGAGACTCTGAGAAAATGTTCGGGTTGGAATGAGGCTCTTGGTTTTCTTGATATCTGCCAACAATGAGCAACTAAAATTGGGAAAGCCATTGAGAGGGTGAGAAATTGCAGAGGAAACAACTCACTAGTGCTCTAATTTGATATGTGCAAATTCATTTTCTCTTTTTGGATCTTTACACAGTCGTGTCACTAAATTTGTAGGCATTCTGTAACCAACTGTTAGGAAAATGTGAAGCTGAATAAGTTTCGGATTTTTCCTCTGGACCTGGAAAAGCTAAAGCCAGAGAATATAGGGCGAGAATCTCCCAAGCAAAACTGCAAATCTTACTACCTCATGGCAAAGCTAGCTGATACACCCACAGACATTGCACCAGTGGGACACCCTAGGTGAACACTCTCTTTATATCTGTACTTTGCTGCAGAGCAGAATATTATTTTGCATCAACATTAGGTTTCACACAAGTGAGTTAATAACATTTTGAAAATACATTCAGATTTACAGTTTCTGTGGCTTGAGCAGTCAGATTTAAAAAGCAATACTTATGTAATAATAATCCTTGCATTTGATATAGCACTTTATCACGTCATTGAGACGTCTCAAAGCGCTTCACAGGATATACTGTAAAGTGGATTGACTGTTTATTTTTTGGGAGAATGAATACAGTAATAAAACAGTTCTGCAGTGAAATGCTTGTGTACGTTCTCTAATTCATGCTCTTCAGCTCTCAACTGAAGGAAAAATCTGTAATAACAAACATTAACTTTCCACATTACTTTTAAGGGTGAAAAAGACATTTCTTGCAGAGATTAAGCTGAAACCAATCCCTTCTATTCAGGAGTAACCTTTATTGTCATTGATGGACAGTGGAAATCAGAGAGCAGCTTTTTTGACTTACTTGGCTATAATGGTTAGTCAACTGCTAAATACAGTGGCTGTATTTCCAGTACAAAGATAGGCTATGTGCCAGTTAATCTACCAATATACATTATTGCCCGTAATAAAGGTACAAAGTTTAGAAATACGAATGATTTTACTATTACAAAAAAGCAACTGCCAACTACTTAGCGTATAAAAAATTCCAAATTTTCTATAAATACAATGAAATGCAGTAAGCCTTGTGTAAAATTTCAACAATATACTGTATCACAGTTACATGGGACAGCTTTACAATGTGCATAACAAGACACTTGTGGCAATTGAACACTGTGGGGGAAAAAAAAAGGGATGTGAAAATAAAAAGTATCTGAGAACACGGTTGGAAATTCTTGAGCTGCAAGCAGAGACCAGGTGACCGAGGCTGGTCGGACAGAGGGATGATGATGGTAGACAGGGAGGAACCAAGCCGACAGTTGGAAGGCATTAGGCGTCAGACAGAGGCTTGTCAGGAACAGCTGTTGTTGGGTACTGATTGATAGTGTTTTCATTCTGCCCACTGAAGAGTTGCAGACAGTCCCCGGTTTGAGAAGTGCCAAGACTGGCGCATACGTATACAACACACAACAAAGTAATTTGACAGATGGCACAAATTGACATCTACCACAGGATCTTCAGTACTTCAATTTTCTTTTAACTCTTTCAAGTACTGTGACACGAAAATAACACATGGATTAAAAGAAGTTGAATTTAAATTTAAGACAAAATCAGTAGTGTTGGTCTTTGTCTAACTTGCATTCACAGGTCATATCGTGTTAAACATTTCCAAACATGGTTTACAAACATGTAAGAAGAACGACGTTATGACGCAATCATTTTCTACCTCAAAAAACCAGCTACTAAAAAAAATCGTTGCAATTTTTCATTCAGGAAAATAAGATAAATCCTGAAATTCAACCCATCTCATGCTATTGTAATCAATGGGCACATCCATCAGCGTTTCAATAACAAAGTCTGTAGCTTGCTGCCAGTCACAGTAGTGCTCAATGATTGCAATAAATGATTGCAAAAAACTGTTCTTGTAAAACGATTCCTGCCTTACTTTTGCTCTTTTAAGCAGAACCTTTCTGAAGGTGTCTGGTGACATTTCAAAGCTTTAACAGGAGGGATATAGTAGTTTATACCCAAAAGCACATTGTGTACATGCCAGATAAGGCGTTAGACTGGAGTTTACACCACCAAGACGTTCCTTTCTATCCAAATGATTTACAAATGCACAAATCCAGTGTTTGCTGGCCTGGATTCCTTATACCAACTGTGTGCGTTAATAAACATATAGTAATAAGAAGCAAAGTGCGAGAATCCACATCCAGACACCACTTTAGTTAATTCTGACGGCATATTGATTTGTTCACCAGCACTGACCAGAGCTGTAACACTGATCAACATAGTTGTCCAAACCTATCATCATTAAGGCAAGATAAATGATTTCCATACACTGAAGAATCATGCATTTACAATAAAAATGACAAAAGCAGAGGCAGGGATTTGGGCCTAACCAGTTCAGTACTGTCTGCTGATTCCAATTTAAATTGACTTCATTTATTCAGTTGATGTGGTACGAGTTAGTTGTTATGCTTCAAAGAAAAGGATTCTTTTCTTGATATGTGGGTATTGGATCATACGAACACAAATTGTATGTCATCTTATTTAAATGAATATTCAGTTAATGTTGCTCTAATGGTATAAAGTTTACAGTACAAATACGTAAAGAGTTGGAGAAAGTTTCCATTCAATGTTTGAATTCAACAGCGTTCATATTCTTGCTGGAATGTTCTCATGTTCATTCTCTTCAAGCAAGTTAATGAACCGATTGAAGCCATCTTTTACAGTATCCATGTTATCTGTAGAGCAAGGCTGCAGAATCCATCGCTGTCCTCTTGCAAGTGGTTCCAGTTCAAAGTACTTTTTGATCTGTCAAGAAAAGGAACATTCTTAGCAATACATGAACAAATCAGGAGTTTTGATTGGGTGAATTACAATTACGCAGAGACTGACCCAGAACTGGGAGTGAATTACAAGGCTTTAGTTCAAAGCAAATGGTACTGATGTCATACAGTACAGAGGTCATGAGAAGGCTGAGCTTTTCTTACAGCTAACATTAGGCCACAAGTGTGGTATTACAACAGCAAAGTGCTAAATATGGTGGGCTGCTGGAAATGGAAGGGATAAATATTGTACAAATCATTCCATTAAAGTCCTGAAACATAATTTAGACAATAGGACAGTGGGGTTCTGCTAAAAGAGATTAATTGCCTGATGCACTATGTAATCATTGTTGATTTCATGTTCAGTATGTGTATGGCAGAAACAGTTGCTGGTTATCCTGTTCTTATATCTGTACAGTACAATACAAATTTCAATTTATATAGTGACTTTTCATGTGACTCCTTCCGATGAAACAGATCGGCTGGTCTATTGGCTCCAGAATTACTACAAGAACTACAATTAAAGCTGCTTTGGTTGAATATCAATCTGTAGAGTACTTATCCCCAACAAATTCCATCAGCCCATCATAATTAGCTGGGTGGGTTTGTAGTACTCAACACCACCAACTTGCATTTATATAGCGCCCTCACGCAGGGTAGCGTCCCAGAGCGTTTACTCAAGGACACTGTTGATGACAGACCAGCCAACCGTACGACTTAGAGAGGCAGACCAGTCACTTGGGGGGAGTGGGTGGGGCAGAGATTCTTCCCACTCTGCTCCTGTTAACACAGCAAGCCAAACACCTAATGGACAGGGTGATCCTAGACGAACAAGCAGCAAGAAAATTGTGCGTTCAATGGCTAGCTACGTGGTTTTAGCTGTCTAAACTCCAGCAGTACCTCACTGCACACTCTGGGGTCCCAAAGCCTTGGCTCATCAGCCTGCGCCTAATACTCTCGGAATTAGCGACGCAGGAAGTGTCCCTCTGGGAAGAAAATGCGCATTCCATTCCGAACATGGAATTTGCACGTGTACATGGCATACATGGAACTCTCCGTCTGGTTTGGATACTCTAAACTAAAGCATGGTGATGGGATTCTTCATGTGTCTGACAATCGACCAACCAAAAAATAAATTGATGTCTCAATACAAACATTCACTTAGTGAACATCACTAAATATAGTCGCGCAATTGGGCTTTGACCCCACCATTTACTTACCTAAAGATTACAAAACATGGGTGCTTCAAAGTGCTCGCCTGCAGGCAGAAAGCAAAATGGGTGACTTCAGGGTCGGCAGGCTGCTGAAGTTCTCACTTCCAGCCTGCGGTGCGCAGGAAATGATGTTGCAGCAACCAGATGACCTGGAAGTCAACCATTTTGGCTTCCTACATGCTAGTCAAATGCCCACCAGAATTATAAAGCACTGATGGATCAGGCCGTTGTTCTGTGCACATGACTGATAACTGTGCCCTTTATAATCTTGTGGAACCCCAACTGTTGTGTTTTAATGGGGCTCTACTGATTAACAGAACAATTTGAATGTGGCTATATAAGGATACATAATTTTCTCAAGACAGTATTACTACACGCACACACACAGACGCACTGCTGTATATTTTGTGCTTAACCACTTAAAATGTTAGTTTTCAGAGCCGTACAGCTTATTATGCAATGACGTTATTTAGCTGGGATAAGGACGAATAAATTGGTTCTGCTACAAATGATGTAAGAAGTTCTTCAAACTAGAAAGCATTTTCCTATTGAAACATTCAGCTTTGCTCATTAACTAGAGTACACACTTAATTAAATATGGCATTGACAAACACTCAAGAGTAGAGAATGTACAAGCAAATTTAATTCAGGAAAACTGATGTGTACCTGAAAACAAAGAGGAATGTTTAGAAATACCAGAAATGTCTAGTCAGATGTCTAACGTCTAGCTTATTTAACCATTTAACTGCTGTAAAAAGTAATAAAATGCCTTATTTTAAATGTTCATTAAATGCATGTTCTTGGCGAACAAGCTAATACATTGTTGAGACAGTGAAGAAAAGATTTAGTGAGAGCCAGCAAAAAGAAATTAATTTAAAGGATAAAACCTCTCTGTTCTTCCTTTTTCCCCCAGCTCACGTGCTTTGGTACAAACCTATTTGCAGTCCTTTGAAAATGCTGCTCCCTTCAGCTGCCTAGATTGACGCTCGAGTGTGTCAATGATGATTTTCCTGCCACATTTCACTTGCCCTAATGGGAAAGGGCCACATCCCTGATTGGTACTTTATGTATCAGCATCGCAGAGGCCAGGATCTCGAAACGTGGGGGGAAATGAACGTCATCTCTCATTTCCAAATTGTTAGTTGGTGCACCAGTGTGCCAGATCACCGCTACATCATTTCACAACTATTTCTGTATATACAAAAAGTGCAGTCTTTTCAGAAACATTAATGAAAGTTAACTTAGCTGTCTGAAGAAAATAATCAGCGCAATTCACTATCTATATTTCCTCTATGTGGGTTTCCTCCTGTCATTTGTTCAAAAGTTTTTGCAAGTGTATGGGGCACAATTTGCTGCTGCTCTGGGTCAATGAATTATAAACAAATGTATTTCAGAAAGTTAGCACCAGATAGGAAGGCATCACAATACTATGAATGCTTGTATGAATATGCTCTTTTCATTCTCCACATTTGGTGGATTTAAAAATAGGTTGTGGTGTGTGTGATTGGAAACATACTCAGCTGAAACAAGGTTTGCCAAGAACATGTAAGAAACAAAAGTGCTTTTCTATTTTTTTAAACCAAAACTTTAATAATCAAGAAACTATTCAGGCTGAGGAGGCCATATATAATATACTACACAATAATATTCTGTCAAATAATTTCACACAGCAGATCAAATCTTAGTAAACATATGGAAATAGTCGATTACATCTTGTAATTGCTGCAACAAACAAGTCTGACACGTGTTTTGGGTTAGCTGCGTGTTTTGTTCTCTAATTGAAAACTCGAAAAGATCAGTTTGCCATCTGGATAGTATATATGGAAAATAAACAGCTGGCAGTGGGCTAGAAGGCTGCAACGTGCTTTAGGGATTTTGATAACGTCATAAACCGCAAGAGGAACATTCAAAGAGTTTACATATGAACCCAAGAGCATAGTACAGCCTTGATCTGCTCCATAATACAGAGTAGCCAAAAGGTCGTGATAACTACCCTATTATACAACAACAACAAGATTACATTTGTCTAGCGCCTTTCATGTCGGGAGGATTATCTAAAAAAATCCCCAAATATCATAATTTCCTTTAGACTTATTTGACATTGTAATGGTATCACAGAGTTTTGGTCACCCTGTATATACAGCTATCTATTCAGAATTTTCCCATTGAAGTTTTATCTTCTATTAGTGCAACCTTGAGTTCTGACGAAAGGTCGTGGACCTGAAACATCGACTCACTTTCCTTTCTCCATAGATGCTGCCTGACCTGCTGTCTGTTCCTCGAGACTTCTATTTTTATATCTGGTGTTTGTTGGATAAACACCGATTTCATTTTTTTTACATCAGGGTTGTTTTATTGGTTATAACTGAAAATTAGAATCTCTACATTTGATACAGTTCCTTATCACGTCGCCGAAAAAGTCTGAAAGCCTTTCACAGGATTTACTGTGAAGTTCACTGACTGTGTATCAAGTAGGTAAATACGGCAGCCAATTGCGCCCAGCTACGTCCCATAAACAGCCATGAAGTGAATGACCCATTTTATTTGGGAATTGTTGGCCCGGATACCAGAGAAACTGCTCTCTCTTTTCGAATAGTGCCATAGGATCTTTTTTTTCAAAATTCAATAAGTATATAGAAAAACATTGCATTACAGTGTTTCACCCTGTGTCACAGGGTCCGACACATATTATAGAAACCACAGATATCTTTAGAAAAATTAATATACATTATGAGTGTTTTTCAGTTTGAGTCAAAAGTTCTCCTAAGTATTGTATTTTAAATACTGTTTTCCAGTGCCTATGATTTACTCTGTGGGGCTGAATGAATGTTCATTGAAGGATACGATCAGAATCAATGTACTGGAGAATGATTACCGGAACTGTTATGCATATGGTTATCCGGGAAATATAGAAGACTTTCCAGCACAAGGTACCTCCCTTATGCCAATAAACTTAGCAAAGGAAAGTAATGCAGAAGAGAGGAAAGTAAGGTGCTACACGGCTCAGTTGGTAGCATTCTCACCTCCGAGTCAGAAACTTGTGGGTTCAAGATCCACAGTGGGACTTTCAGCTCACAGTCTAGGCTGCACTCCAATGCAGTGCTGGGGGAGCACTGCATTGTCAGAACTGTTTTTCTTTGAATGAGAACATTAAAGTTTTATCTAGTCTACCCATTCAGAGAGTCGTTAAAGATCCTATGGCATGATTAGAAGAAAAGGGAGTTTCTACCGGTGTCCTGGCCAACAAATGACAGATAATATCAATCATTCCCTTTATGGCTGTTGTGGGAGATTGTTGTGTTCAAATTGGCTGCTGCATTCACCCACAAATACACAGTTACTACACTTCACAGTAATTCTTGTGAAGCACTTTGAAACGACTTAACAAAGCTATATCAAATGCAGGGATTATTACTACTGATGTTCATTATAAATCACTTATTTGTGGAAAAACATTGTATTAGAGACACAGGAACATTGGAACAGGAGTAGGCCATTCAGCCACTCGAGCCTGTTCCGCCATTCTATAAGATCATGGCTGAACTAATAATAATAATCCTTGCATTTGATATAGCGCTTTTCACGTCTTCTAGACGTTTCAAAGTGCTTCACAGAATAGACTGTAAAGTGAATTTACTGTATATTTTGTGGGCGAAATGCGGCAGCCAATTACGCACAGCAGTGTCCCACAAACAGTCGTGGGTTGAAAATGACCGATTTATTATTATGTTTTTTTCTTGAGGGATTATCATCAGGTGTGTGGAGTGTGGAA